GCCCCCAGCCTGACTCTGGCTGAGCCGGCCTCTCCCATGTAAGAAATGCATGTTAAGGTGGTTGGGATAGGGAAGAGGGGTGTTAGGTGAGAGACTGAGCTACAGGTTTCTCTTACCACAGTGTAGACATTGTGGTTTTGTTGGAATCACATTCAGGTTTATGGGCATTGGTTTTTATGAAAAACCCAGGGCCATTTGCCCAGGAGTGACCTGACCCACCTCAGCCACAAATGACACTTTGGCTAGAGATAAGCTCCTGTAGGGAAGGGGGAACCCCTCCCTCCTCTAACTGTATTTTTGTTTATTTATTTTTAATTGATTTTTAGAGAGAGAGGAAGGGAGAGGAAGAAGGAAGAAAGAGAAAAACATCGATGATGGGAGAAACATCAATCAGCTGCCTCCTGCACACCTCCTACTGGGGATCGAGCCTGCAACCCAGGCATGTGCCCTGACCAGGAATTGAACCAGCGACCTCTTGGTGCATGGTTGATGCTCAACCATTGAGCCACCACGGGCCAGGCGCTACTTGCCTATTTAAAAGCATCAGAGTCCTGGTCTGTCAAGGTGGTGTGTGTTCTGACAGAGAGGGGGCACCCTTGACCCTCTCTCCCTCAGCAGGGCCCATGAGAGGAGCAAGGTCTCTAGGAAAGGGATGGCGGGAGAGCTGGCACCCGCCTTTCCTGGGCGAACTGGGCCTGTTCTTGCAGTTCGAGCTCTTTCTTCTAGATCAGTGGTCGGCAAACTCATTAGTCAACAGAGCCAAATATCAACAGTACAACGATTGAAATTTCTTTTCTCTTTTTAAAATATATTTTATTGATTTTTTACAGAGAGGAGGCGAGAGGGATAGAGAGTTAGAAACATCGATGAGAGAGAAACATTGATCAGCCGCCTCCTGCACACCCCTCACTGGGGATATGCCTTCAACCAAGGTACATGCCCTTGACCGGAATCGAACCCGGGACCCTTCAGTCCGCAGGCCGATGCGCTATCCACGGAGCCAAACTGGTTAGGGCTGAAATTTCTTTTGAGAGCCAAATTTTTTAAACTTAAACTATATAGGTAGGTACATTGTTACTAACTTAATTAGGGTACTCCTAAGGCTTAGGGAGAGCCACACTCAAGGGGCCAAAGAGCCGCATGTGGCTCGCAAGCCGCAGTTTGCCGACCACTGTTCTAGATCAACCATGTCAGACTCAAAGGCTAACACAGGCCAAATAAACAAGGTTTAAGTTTCTGTGGGCCGCAAAAAAACAAATTTCACAGAAACGTAGGTTTAGTTCGATAGAGACATGCTGAATACAAAGGGCTGAAATAAATGAGTGATCGTTAAGTTAGTAGAACATTTTAATAAAAATTAATATTTTTTCTTGAACATTAACTTACCAGACACTGCATAACTGCACAAATTAATGAGCGTTAGCAAATAAATCTATTTTTCTTATTCTCCGAAAGCAAAATATTTCTTTTGTGCACACCAAACAAGTCAGAGCAAGACCAATGACATGGCAATCGGCTACTAAAATATTCGCTGCT